AACCCCAGGGCTCCCATCCCCTATTTCTCCAGTCCCACCCCACACAAACACCCCCCCTGAGCACCTTGGCTCCCCCAGCAATCCCCCCCCGGGGCAGGAGAGGAGCGGGCATCACATTGAGGGGTTTATTCGCCTGTCCCCCGTTCCAGGCCTATTTTCTAATTTTTGGCTGACATTTTTCTTAGTGAAACAAATGAATTGACTCCAGCGGAGGCCCGCTCGGATTAAGGGGCTGTCAGCGCCTCGCCCGCCTAACAAATGGCTGCGCGCAGCCGGCGGCGCCGGCGGAATTCCAAATGGGATGGGGAGCACCGGGAGCGCGGGGGCGGCGGCAAGGTGCTCATCAGGAAAGGTGCTTAGCCAAGCAGGAACGGCGGGGGAAGGAAACGGAACATTCCGTGAAAGCTTAAACGGGCTGTTTAATCCTCCTGCAGGGAGAGTCCGGCTGCGGGGATGTGCGGGGATGTGCGGGGATGTGCGGGAATCCTGCGGGGATGTGCGGGAATCCTGCGGGGATGTGCGGGAATGTGTGGGGATGTGCGGGAATCCAGCGGGGATGTGCGGGAATGTGCGGGGATGTGCGGGGATGTGCAGGAATCCTGCAGGAATGTGCAGAGATGTGCGGGGATGTGCGGGGATGTGCGGGGATGTGCAGAAATCCTGCAGAAATGTGCAGAAATCCTGCAGGAATGTGCAGAAATCCTGCAGGAATGTGCAGAAATCCTGCAGAAATGTTCGGGAATCCTGCAGAAATGTGCGGAGATGTGGGGGATGTGCGGGGATGTGTGGAGATGTGCGGGAATCCTGCAGAAATGTGCAAGAATCCTGCGGGGATATGAGGGAATCCCTTTCCAGTGTCTCTTCCTGCAGAGCTGGGATAGGGGACAGTTGGTGCCCAGGCTCTGGGTGAGTTTTTGGCCTCCTGAGGGGGTCAGGGAGGAGGCTCTGGGGGTGCCCAGCCCCGGGGACCCGCGCTGGGGATGGCTGAGGGGTCACTCACTGCTCTGCCACCACGTAGTGCTCGGGCAGGGGCGTGCAGGGCACCCCGGCCACCTGCACGCCCTGGGCGATCTCCGAGAAGTCCAGGCCCAGGTTCACGCCGCGGATGGTCACCCTGGTGCCTCCCTCCGGGGGCCCCGACACCGTCAGGATCTGTGGGGAGACAGAGCACAAGGAATTGGGGGTGACATCACCACCAGCCCCACCTGTGGCTTCTGCTCCGAGTGCTGCCACCTCCTGTCACCAAACCCAGCCAGTGCCACCTTCTCATGGCTCTTCTGAGCCTCCTGGAGCAGCCCAAGGGTGCTGAAATCCATCTGTGCCGTGGAGAGAGGACTCCAAAGTCCCTGAGCTGGCCAAGAGAAGCGGGAAATACCATTCCCCTTCCAGAAGGATGAGCCTGGCTCCCGTTTCCTATACCCAGGAGAGAGTAAGTCACCTTCCAGAAGCATCCTGGTGCTTGGGAGAACTTTGCCTCCTGCCTTGGCTGTTCTCTGAATGTTAATGTCACATTTTATTAGTGGCTTGGCACCTCAAATGACTTAAAAATGCTAAAGGCTGAGGTGTGTGCTTTCCAGCTGCCTGTTTATAGCCTGCCTCAGCCATAATCATCCCTGCTTCCCCGGACCTGCATTAAGGACAATCTCCTCTTCAATTAGGAATATAAATTTCAATAATGCATAGCCACAAAATTTGGACCCGGGACTCTCAGACAGTTCTCCTGAATCTGCCACCACTCCGTCGTTGCTCTTGGGTGAGTTACTAATCTTCTCCGTGCTGCAGCTGTTATTAATAAATAAACACCATCCATAATAATGCAATTTAATTAATTTAATGGATAAATCTTGTTTACGCTTCTTTGTTCCACCCTTGTCTTTGGCAAAAGGCTTGAGCTCTCCAGATTCTCTTTTCAGATGGATTCTTGGTTTCTTCCACCTTTTTAGGAGTGAGGGAATGGCCAAACACCAGGACAGCACAACCCAGTGACCCCTGTCCCCATCATTTCTGTGGGTCCAAGGTCCCCAAGATATCTGAAAAAACACCCAAAATCTTCAGGATGAAATCCCACCATCCCTGCTAAACCAAGC